GGCCCCGCTCAGGTGTCAGGGAGCCCCTCTCTCCCTGGGGAAGTCCTCTGCAGCTCCAGGGTTACAGGCCCTTTCCCAGGAGGCTGCTGCTCAGCTCTGCTCACGGTCCCTGCACCTGCGGGCGGGGAAGAAGCACAGGTCGGTCCTGGTGCTGCCGGCGCGGGGACAGCCCTGCTCTTCTCTGGGACCCGCCTGGGCGGATCCACGCAGCGCTGACCCCGTGCGGGTCCCGGGGGGCCGGGCCGGGCCTGGGCGCCCGCCTGAGGAGTCTTCACCTGCTGCCCGCTCTCCCCAGCCGATCTGTTGGAGCACTGACCCCCTTCGCCTGTTCTTGCAGAGACGTCTCCCTGGAGGGATGCGGCCTTTTGCTGCCAGACAGAGCAGAGCCGCTACCCCTTGCCTGCTCCCGGGGCTGGGCCTGGCCTGGGCACCTGCATGCGGAGCTTTCATTTGCTGCCAGCTCCCAGCTCTCCTGTCATGGGGACATCGCCAGCAGGACAGAGGCCTGGGGGGACCTGCATGACCTGGCCACGTCACGTGGGAATCTCTTGGACACGTGTCAGCTTCTCCCTGGGCCTCCAGAGCTTGCAGGGGCAGGGGCAAGGGCAAGGGGCAGAGAGCACTGCTGCTGGGACAGGAGCAAGATCACTGCTTCTCTGGGGCAGCACAACAAGGCCCAGCTGAGGGAAAGCATCTTTGTGCTGGGGGATGCACATGTGTAGTGAGAATGACCCGTGGCCCCAGCCCGGCTGCAGGGAGCAGCGCTCTGTGGCCCCTGGCCACTGCATTACAGATGCTGTGGCCCTTGGGAGCACCCAAGCTGCTCCTCTTGCGCTATGACCTGGCCCTTCCCCTGCTGCCAGCTGCTTGCAGGAACCGGAGACCCCGGGACGCAGCCCTCAAGACCCCTGCCCCATGTCCCGCACCCTTGATCCGGAGCCCGCACTGCTCCCACTGCTGCTCCTGGCGTGGGGCGGCAGGCTGACACTCCCAGCCAGGTAGACAGGAGGGAGGTGGGTGGAGATCAAACACTGGGGGCCTGATGAATCAGAGCAGGAGGGGGTGGGTGTGCAGTCTCAAGGGGGTGGCCTCAAGAAAGGGGCAGAGCAGGGCAGGCAATTATTTTGGGCAGAGGACCGTTTAAGGAGTTTCAGCAAGCCACTGTGGGATGCAACGTTAGCCCTGCCCCTTGACAGGTGCCGCACCCTGCGGTCACTATCTTGGGATTGGAAGTCCCATCCCCAAACCCAACCTTTGCCACCAGAAGTCCCTCCCCTTGTCCCCCCAAGTACTCCTTTCAGCAAGGGGCTTGCCATCTCATAACTAGAAAAATACCCAATTATATTCTAAGAATCGAACATGTACTACAACATTCATTTATTTCATTAAAAAAAATACTTTCGTCCTGATTTTTGTGTGTTTGTATAGTGTACCTGGAAGTTGTAGTATCATAGCTTACCATGAAGTCTTGCTCTTGTATATGGTGGGCGAGTCTGGGGGGTATGGGTGGACAGGTATGGGGGGTGGGGGTGTGTGGGAGCATAGGGGGTGGGAGTGGGCAGAGGGTTTATAGGGGTGTGCATGGGGGGTGGGGAGGTGACTGGGGAGGGTTGTGTAACATGTAGAGGGAGAGGGTTTGCCCACAGTCCACCTCCTGCTCTGTGTGGCAGGCAGAGCCTCCACCAGCACTCCATCCTCCTGGCCCCAGGGCACTGGTGCAGGCCCCATGATCCCACTCACCGCCACTTCCCCCCTCCGTCTGCCACCACTGCCCTTCTCCTGCTGTTTTCCTGTCCCCACCCTCCCACTCCAGCACCATGTCCCAGCTGTATGGGTGAGACTGCAGGACGCAGCAGGAGCCAGCTCAGCCTGACTGGCACTACATGGAGCCAGCTGAGAATTGTGGGGCCAGGGTCACAGAATCATAGAAAATTAGGTTAGGAAGGGACCTTAAGAGATCATCAGGTCCAACCCCCCCACTCAAAGCAGGACCATCCCCAACTAGATCATTCCAGCCAAAGCTTTGTCAAGCTGGGCCTTAAAAACTTCCAAGGATGGAGACTCCACCCTCTCTAGGTAACTCATTCCAGTGCTTCACCACTGAAGTCCTGCTGCCCAGTGCTGCAGCCAGGTGCCAGGGAGCATAACGTGATGGAGCTGTGGGTAGGGGAAGGGAGCAGTGGCAGCACGGCAGCAAATGGGGTGGGGCACAGCCAGCAGGCCTTGCTGTTGTGGCTGCTTAGTCTTGTGGGCAGCTCCCCCTGGGTCCTACTGCTGCTGTCTCCTATTATCTTTGACAGGCAGCCAGGGGCAAATAAATATTAATTTTCTAAATTTCTTAGGGAGCCCATGAGCCAGCTAGGATGGCCTGGTGGGCCAGATTCAGCCCATGGGCTGATGCCTACCCCTAGGTTAGAGCCTCTGCTGGGTGCATAGCCTGCAGTTTAGGGGAATGGTCTTACTCTTTGGAGGCAGGACTCGGGTCAGCAGGGGTGGCGGGGCGGGG